GAAACCGACTGCAGCAAGTAAAAAGTAAAGGCAGGTGGGCGTGGTGAGCCCAAGGCTTGTTCCAGGTGTTTCCAGGGCCCACCTGCCGCTGGCCTGGGGTTCTGGAGACCCTGCAGTTGGATCGCAATAGCACTTCTCTTCATTGTCAGAGAGAAAGCGGTCCCTGAGAAAAACGTTCTAACAAATACGTGCCCTTCTTTTCTTTGATGCTGCCTTTATGGTAGGGCTTCTTCTTTTTTTTAAGAGAGACTTTTGCTATAGGGCACATGTGCTCACTGGAGAAACAGAGAGACAGAAACCGAGCAATCACCCCCAGGGGGATTGGCCATGTCACAATCCCTTCTCCTGCGTTCTCGTCTTGGGATTTTGGGCACACACGCACACACTCCTGGTGTGAGTTTTAAGTTGCTGGGCCCAGGACTCAAACTGCAGTTGACTATGTGGGAGCCCAGCAACGTAGCCATCTGCTAGTCCCCAAGGTCCACAGACAGCTCCTGCCTTTTTCCTTTAAAGGAATGTGTGCATCCTTCCTGCTTGTATCACCGCTGGGTGCACATCTGTGTCACCCTGGCATCTCCTGGTCCTGCTGGCAGAGGGTGAATTATCTATGCTACTAAATGTCAGGAACACCTGATCCCCCTGGGAGCAAGAACATCCGATCCCCCGGAAGCCTCGCTGGTGCTAACGGGGAGTGCAGGCCTGTTCACATGGCTCCTGTCACCCACCTGTCACTATGAGGAGATGTGGGTCCCTGTGGGTAAGAGGTTGTTCCGTGTGAGGGGCTACCCTTTGATGTCCTCCTGCCCCTTCGTCACTGGTGGGAGCCCTGAGGTCAGGGGACTTCCTAAGGCTGCAAGACCAGTTTCAATCTCCACCTTCCCTGGCAAGCACAGACAGACACGGCTGCTGAGGAGACACGTCCCCGCCCTGTGGTCACGCCTGCGCCTGGTCAGTGAAAACATTAGGACGGTCTAGCAGGTCACAGAAACTGCTTCTAAAAGGCAAAAAGTAGGCATGGTTGTGAAGATGAGGAAAGACAACGCAGAGCCGCGTGGTCCACCTTCTCGGAGTGAGGGCTGGGAGCGCCGCATGGTCCACCTTCTCGGAGTGAGGGCTGGGAGAGCCGCGTGGTCCACCTTCTCGGAGTGAGGGCTGGGAGAGCCGCGTGGTCCACCTTCTCAGAGCGTGAGGCGGGTGTGCCCAACATCGAGGTCCAGCGAAGCCGCGGTCAGTGACACAGGGTGGTCTGCAGTGGCGTCCTGCTAGCCGAGGGTGGGTTTGCCGTTCAGTAGCTGGATGCACTGCTTGGCCTGGCCAGGTCTGGGGGTCAGCACAGTCCATTCTGCCGGTGCGTTAGCTTTTACCCAAATGAGAACGGTTCCGTGGTCTCGCTTCTAGTTGTTGCTGCACAATAAGCCACCCCAGCATGTAGCTCATAAATCAGGAGTAATCCCCCTCATGGTTCTGTGGTTGTGGGCTTCGCTAGGTGGTCCTCACCTGCGAGCTCTCGTCGATGGGACTGGGGCTCTTTGAAGTTTACCTGGGCCAAATGACCAGGACAGCTGCCCCAAGGCTGCCAGCTAGCACTGACCAAAGCCAGGGCTGCCCTGGGGACTTAAACCAGAGTGCCCACACGTGGCCTCCACGAGGTTCGGGCTTCCTGTCGTGGAAGCTGGGTTTTAAGAGGCAGATTCAGACAAGCAAGCCTCAGAGCCGCTCAAGCAAAGTGCCCAGGCTTTTGGCGCTTCCGAGCCCTTCGAGGCATTTTGTTAGCGAAGAGAGTCACAGCACGATTCAACCAGAGCAGGCCCCAGGCTGAGAATACTGGGAGGTCTGGCTCATGGGAACCCGCTGCTGGAGGCTGGCCGCCACCGTCCACCCCGCCTCCACGAAGCCACATGCCACCCACGTGTAACACACCTACCCTCTAACGACCCCGCAGGCCCGTCCCGTGTGGGGTCAGACTCGGGTCTTGAAGTCCAGGACTTCGTCTTCTAAGCCCGGCCTAGGGACTGCAGAGGCCCCTCAGGAGCAGTTCCTTGGGTGCGATTTCTAAAGTGGGACCAGTTCTCTCCTAATTAGCTATTCCTGCATAACGAGCCACTCAAGGGCTGGTGGTACTTATCAGACCCTGCGCTGTGAGTTAAGAACTCAGAGAAGGCACAGCTGGGTAATTAGTCAGGTGGCAATAGCGGACCAGTAGGGGCTGGTGGGTCACTGCCAAGAGGGCTCCTTCACTCATAGGTGTCACCTGACCCCTCTCCCGCTCTCTCCCTCTCTCTTTCTCTCTCTGTGTCTCTGTCTCGCCCCCCTCCCCCAGCCCTCCTTGGCATCTGAACCTTTGAGATACTGTCATGCAGCTTTGGTTTCTCGCCGTAGGTGGTCTCAGGGCAGCTGGACTTCATACCTGGTCACTGGCTTTTCCCAGCGATGTCCTTCAGCCTCAGGACACCCCTTCTGCCATATCACAGGTCAAGCCAAGTCGCCAAGACCAGCCCAGACTCAAGGAGAAGGAAACAGAACAGTGGGGGACAGCATGCTTATGCATGAGGAGCGGGGTGAGGCTGGCCATCCTGGAGACAGCCTCCAGGGTTCCCACCCCTACAGAGCTCTGCTAGGAAACATTTCCTCTGTCCCTCTGCAGGACTGCAGCCTAAAAGTTGCTTCCTCACAGCAGCTTCCCATGGTCCCCCAGAAGGCCGCAGTGCCCCAGTGAGCACTCACAGCATACGCACCCGTGCCGTAAAGATGTCGGCGGCCTCTCTCCAGGGTTGTCTACCTCCACGTCTCCTCAGAGCTGTTCCTTCTCTGAGTTCTTAACTCCACGGCTACGCCCCCGGTACAGAGCGCAACACGCCGCACGCGGCGGGCCCTCCATAAATAGCTACTCTCTTCCTCTTTTTAAACTTACTTCTTTGCATCTAATTTCTGTACACCTTTGTGAAATACTACCTGCTTTCAAAGCAAGCTTCTGTGTGACAAGTCCAGGGTCAGACCATATTCATCGTCTTCCACAAGATCATTCTATTGTGCAGCTTCTGTGCTCATCCTCCGACGGCTTTTTTGAGATACACATGTAAGATTGGCAGTGCCTTTTTATCTTTTCCTCTGTTGTGGCATTTTAATGGAGTGAAACTGGAAGCCGGCTGTCACCGCCAGCCCTGCCGGAGTCATCCTTTGGCTCCAGTAGCAGGACTCAACCTTTGATCTTTGTCTCCCTCTTTTCTTTTCCCTCCTTTAAATTTCCCCAAATAGAGAACAGCAACTATGTTCGTGTTACTAGCGTCACCAGGGCCCTCCTGAGCCCAGGCTTCCGCACAGCTCCTGTGGCTGGAGGACTGATTATCATGCACAGGATGGAGACAGGGAGGGTCCAAGTTGCTCCTGAAAATGAATCTGCCATGATGCACCAGCCAGGAGCTTAATAGGGAGCATGATCCTCAATTTGCTGAGGGTAGCTCTACATGGAGCCCTGGGCTGGGCGTGTGACATGCCATTTCTCAGAGGGTTTTGCAGAGGCTGCAGCTGCAAAACTGCAGGAAGGACTGATGACTCTGGTCGGAGACCCAAACACAGCTCTCTTATAAGACAGAGGGCTGGGTGGTCAGGCTAATCGGGAATGCAGGCACGTGCGTGTCGGGCATAATAATGCATGTATATTACATAGGTGGTGTGAGGGTAGACTGAGACCAGAGCAGAAGCCAACAGGACAAAGGCAACAGGCAATCTAACCCCTCACTGGGTCAGGAGCTGGGCCCTCGGCCGCAGGTGACCACTAGGTACCAGTGATGAGAAAGTCAGCCGTCTGCATCCACACACAGCATTCCAGAAGATCTGGTTTTGAGGCCAAAGTCGATGTGAAATTGACGAGACAGGCTGTCTCTCCCTTAGGGTTGATCGCAGGAGGGTTGTCTTCAAGTCCTTCTTTATTTCCTTTAGAAATCATTATGAATTAAGTCTTGTTTCAAAGGTGGATTTTTCTAATATGTGTGTGTGTGGTTTTTTTTTTTTTAATGACAGTTAAGAGTTTTGCCATGCAAATTTATCTTAGTGCTGAGGGCGCCGATTTTACCAGTGAAGACGGCCCTTCAGGCAGGCTCTGTTCCTGTCACCTCTGGCCTCCCGTTTGCAGGGGAGGGAGCTCGCAGTCGAAGCTGCAGGTGGCTGGTGCTGTGAGAGGCCACCCACACATCTCATGTCCAAGCTGTGACTAAGCAGCAGCTCCTAGGAAGTATCCAAGCTGTGTCTCGATGATTTGGACAACCGGCTTTGCATCTGCAAATCTCATGACAACGCTCTCTGCAAAACTGCTATGGTGAAGGCGAAGGCGTTTATTCCCAAAGTTCTCCGCCATGACACAGCCTGAGGGACGCCACACGTGAATCCGCAGGGCGCACTGAGCACTTCCATCTGAGGACGCCTTGGCGAGGGCAGGGGCTGCTCGCAGGAGTCAGGCAGTCCACTCTCAGCACAGGGTGTCCTCACAACCATGCGCTGACGGGCCTTTGTGTGCTACGCTGCAAAGAGAGGGGACCCCGGCCCCAGCCCGAGTGCAGCACCGAGCACGTGCGAGTCCAGGGCTCCAGAGCAAGCAGCGGGCTGCCCCATGCAGGTGAGGGGCCCAGGCTGCACTTCCGCCCAACTCATGCAGACCTCAGCGGGCCAAAGCAGAAGTTGGGGAAAGATCTGGGGAACTTGCCTGTAAAAATAATAATAATAACAATAACAAGCTTATTCCAAGATTTGGGTCTTGGCCTATTTTTTAAGAAATCTTAGAACAAGTGAAGTCATTTTATTGACTTAATTCTAGAAATCTAACCCAGACAGGTGCTGCCTTGGGAAGGGGTTGAAAATCGCGCAGGAGCTCCAGTGGCCCGGAAGCTCTCGCCTCTCCCCGGAGCTTCTGGCTGTCTCTGTGGGCTCTGCCCAGGTCAGCGCGGGGAGCTGCTGTGACACAGAGTGGACACAATAGACAGAGTTACGTGTCCGCCACAACCGGCTTTGCATCTGCAAATCTCATGACAACGCTCTCTGCAAAACTGCTATGGTGAAGGCGAAGGCGTTTATTCCCAAAGTTCTCCGCCATGACACAGCCTGAGGGACGCCACACGTGAATCCGCAGGGCGCACTGAGCACTTCCATCTGAGGACGCCTTGGCGAGGGCAGGGGCTGCTCGCAGGAGTCAGGCAGTCCACTCTCAGCACAGGGTGTCCTCACAACCATGCGCTGACGGGCCTTTGTGTGCTACGCTGCAAAGAGAGGGGACCCCGGCCCCAGCCCGAGTGCAGCACCGAGCACGTGCGAGTCCAGGGCTCCAGAGCAAGCAGCGGGCTGCCCCATGCAGGTGAGGGGCCCAGGCTGCACTTCCGCCCAACTCATGCAGACCTCAGCGGGCCAAAGCAGAAGTTGGGGAAAGATCTGGGGAACTTGCCTGTAAAAATAATAATAATAACAATAACAAGCTTATTCCAAGATTTGGGTCTTGGCCTATTTTTTAAGAAATCTTAGAACAAGTGAAGTCATTTTATTGACTTAATTCTAGAAATCTAACCCAGACAGGTGCTGCCTTGGGAAGGGGTTGAAAATCGCGCAGGAGCTCCAGTGGCCCGGAAGCTCTCGCCTCTCCCCGGAGCTTCTGGCTGTCTCTGTGGGCTCTGCCCAGGTCAGCGCGGGGAGCTGCTGTGACACAGAGTGGACACAATAGACAGAGTTACGTGTCCGCCTGGTCAGAGCAACCCCAAGCCATTGGGTGGGTGGCAGGAGGGGTGCTCTGCTCTGCTCTGCCCAGCGCCCAGACCGCAGCCGATGGAAGCTTTGCAACCACGTCTGAGCCCAGACTCCCTGCAGGTCTCCACAGTCAGCTGGAAGGGGAAGAGAGTGGAAGAGCCGTGCCAAGGGCTGTCTGGAGGATCGCTTCCCCTCACACATGCCTGTGACTAGAGACCAGCAAGGGAAGCAGGAAGGTATCACCTAGCTGGGGCCCAGGAAGAAACAGGAGTGGCTGGGCCGTGGCGAGCAGCCAGCAGGCTCCCCTCCCCGCTCTGTCCCTGTGGGAGTTCTGAGTTCCACAGGGTCAGCCTCGTGCTTCTGCTCGAGATGCGCTCTCAGATACCCAGGAAACGCGGTCTGAGGCAGGATTCAGCCTCCCAAATCTTACTGCCCCTCGGTCTGACTACCTGGCAGGCCTCGCACACCTGACACATGCAGGACGGAGTTCACTCTCTGCTCTCTGGCTTCATCTGTAAACTGGAAGTGAGGGGAACACCTCACAGCGTCACTGAGGGGTTACATGGGCTAGCGTGGAAAGCACGCAGAAACACGCCTGGCACATGGGAGCTTGGCCAGCGTCAGCTCTTATTACGGTGACCCCTCCCACTCCATCGACTAAGTGCGAGGGTATCATGGATGCCTTCCTGTCACTCGGCTCGGCGCCCCTCCAGCCACTCACATCCCTCCCAGACCACGCCTGGCCCCACGCCAGGGTCCCCCTGTCGCAGACACTCCTTACCTCCACACTGCCCACCGCTGGGCGCGCTGGGCCGGTCTTCCTCAAACTCCCCACCAGCAGCACTGCGGAGCGCCATCCTGAAATAGCCCAGCGACACTCTCAGACACCGGGGACCTGGCACTGCCCACGCACCAAGTCCGCACGCTCCCCAAGGCGAGAAGGCCCGTGGACCTGGGGAAGCCTGGAGTTCTGTCCTGCCGCCCAGAAAAGCCTGCCAAAAGTTCGAGGAAACGCAGACTGAAAATCTACGCATGAATTTCTTTTTTTTGCACCAAATACACTCTTCCTTTAATCCTATTTTCCACAAACCTGAGCATCCCACGTAGTCCCTGCCTCCCTCTCAGCCATGGCCTCTGCCCTCACTTCTCCCAAGTCTGGGTGACACTGTCATCACTGTCATCATGCCCAGAGAGCCCGCCCCTCCTTGCCCTCCAACTCTTCACCCCTCACTTGACATCGCCCTCGAGCAGCGGCCCCTCCGGCCTCCCCCATCCACTCCACCTGTCCCTGGTCACACCTTGTCCCCAGGAGAACCGAGCCCGACTCCTCTGCTCAGCCAGCAGCCACGAGTGCGCCCTCCGGAGCTGGCCACCGTCTCCCGCTGGTGCTGGTTTAACGGCCTTGGAAAGGCTCTAGCTCAGGGCGGGTACTTTCCCCCAGGAGCGCCCTTCGCCCAGGCGTGTGGCTGCCCTCTGGTGCTCTGGGCACCAGCCCTCTGCTGCCGTCGCAGACCCAGGACGCCCGAGGGCCGTCGGCCTTTCCTGCCTCACCTTCTAGGGCAGGAAGGACGGGCGAGGTAAAGGCGGCGGGGTCTCCTCACCAGGGGGGCTCCCTGGGCTCACGCCGGCTCCTCCTACTTCCCCAACCACTGTGCCTTCCAAGTGATTCTGTGAACAGCATCTGAGGGAAACGGGCTTTGACCCATCACCCATCACCCATCGCCGAGGCCGACTCTCTGCGCTCCCTGCACCCATCTCCTGGAGGGCAGAGGAAGGGCTTAGGGTCGCTGCTCCCTTCTCCCGACGGCCTGGGGGCTGGTGCCGGCCTCACCGAAGGACTTTCTGGACTGTGGTGCGGTGTCTTTTTCCTTGTGTGTTGGGCCTTGGCTATAATCCAGGGCAGAGCAGAGCCCGGCGGCACACAGCTAGACGCCGAGTGGACAAAGGCGTGTGCTGGCTTCGTCGCTGCTCCTCAGCACGTCTTTCCAAGGCTGTGCCTTCCTGAAGACACTAGAAACTCTTCAAAGAAAGCGATCCCGTTCTTGTTCTTCTCTTAAGAATTAATTAATTAATTTTAATTTCACCAGAGAAACAGAGAGAGGGAAAGTAAGAAAGCAAGCCACCAGGTCTAGGCCTTGAACTGTGGTCAGCCATGTGGGAGTTCAACTCCTCTACCACCATGCCACCTGCTGGCCCTCTATCCCTATTTTCTGTCTCCATTTTGGGTTTTGGGGGAGTGTTTTTAGAGGTTTTAGCTATAGGGTATGCTCACCGGAGAGACAGACACTGAAAGGGAGAAATTATCCCCCGGGGGCACGGCCACGCTGCAATCCCTTCTCCTCTCGAGATTTTGGGCACACGCACGCACACACAGCGTGAGTTCCAGGCTGCTAACCCCCCGGGGGCATGGCCACGCTGCAATCCCTTCTCCTCTCAAGATTTTGGGCACACGCACGTGCACACACAGCGTGAGTTCTAGGCTGCTAGGTCCAGGACTCGCACTGCGTCAGGCCACGAGGGAGTGCCGCACCGTAACCACCTGGTGGCCCTCCGCCTCCATGCTGTGACTCACCCTGAGCACCGTAACCACCTGGTGGCCCTCTGCCTCCATGCTGTGACTCACCCTGAGCACCGGGTGCCCAGTCCAAGGTGCTATTTCCTGGCCCCGTCACAGCTGCCATCCGGGCTTGGACGATAACTGGCTCCTGTCTTTCAGGAAAGGTGGGCCGTCCACCTGGGCACACGGCAGGCCAGGGCCTCTCCCGCCACAGCCCCTTGTGTCTGACTGATGGCCTTCCGGGGACAGTGGTAATAGAAACGCCGCACGGTTGGGAGCTGAGGTCTGCAGGGCAGGCGCGTTTCTCTTCCCCTGCTCTGCTGAGGCCGCCAGCGTGTGCCGGGACTGGTTGCGGCTGGCCCAGCCCCGCTTCCTGTTTCCGGGCGGCCTGACAGATTTGTAACTGTAATTTGGCTTCAGTGCACTCCAGGCGGTCCTGGAAACCAGAGGCCCCGTCCCATCTCTGCTGCGTGGACCCCATTTCTCTGCCTCTGCTCCCTCTCTCCAAGCACGGGCCACTCAGCAGGGAGACCCTAACTCCGCTGAAGCTGGCCGCAGAAGCACAGATAATGCTTCTTGGTTAGTCTCTCACTCCTTTCTGGGAAAGGGAACAGTTCCGTTCTCTTATCTCGCGAGTGGACTCAAAGCTGGAAAAGCGAATTGAAGACAGCCGCGTGTTTCTTGGTGAAGCAGAATTTCCAGGGCGGACTGCCCTAGGAGGGACAAGGCCTGTAGTGCCACCTGCTGACCGCGTGTGGCTGGCGGTTAACTAAGGATTTCCTCTGGGCCCAAACTTACCCCTCACTAGGGCACGAGCAGGAGGAGCCCGACATGGCCCAGGGGTGTTCCTCCGGCTTGGTCTCCCCTACCTAGAATACCCTTGGGCTTGCCAGGCAGCGGGGCAGGGCAGGGCAGTGCCCGGAGTCTTCCACCCAGGGTGGGTCCACAGGGGCTCAGCAGTGTGCGATGGAAGGGTCCCTGGGCACAGACTCGGAGGGGACAGCTCCCGCGTCGATAGCCTCCCAGCACACGCCTCCCTGTGTCGTTTGCCCCGTGCACACGTGGGCAGGGCCTGACCTGGAAATCCGTCCTCGGTCCAAAGCCATCTGTGGCAGAGAAGAAGACACAGCCTTTATTCTGCAGTGAGTCTCGGGCCCAGCCACAGAGCGGGGCCATGACAGGAGACCAAGTGCAGCACCTGGCCCACCGTGCTGGGTACCACAGCCATGTTGGCCAGGGACAGGAGCACTTGGGAGTGGCAGGGACACCCACAGACCTGGGGAACAAGGGAGAGAGGTTCCCTCGGGGGAGGGAGGCTGGACAGAACCTACCCACCAATAAAACCCTTCTCCACTTGTTTACATGTATCTTAAAACCTACTCGATAACATATTACCTAAGGGAAAAAATTACTGTCAGGGGGCGCATTCACTTCCTAGAGAGAGACGGGGCGGGGAGAGAGTGCCCCCACCGCAGCACGGTCGCGCCACAGTCCCTTCTCCTCCATTTCTCCATCCGGTCAAGAGTTGGTGCACACATGTCAGCCATGTTTTTCAAGTTGCCAGGGTTGGGATTTGAACCTCAATCAGCCATGTGGGATCAACCCTCCTTAACCACTAGGCCCCTCAAAAAATGCCCTGATGGAAAGTGCGTGTGCACACAACGGAGAGACAGAGGGGGAGCGCAGCACTCCTGGTGGGTCTGGCCAGACAAAGAGCCACTGCTCCCCGCCCTCCAGCTCCTCTGGCTCTTGGGCACCCACACAGATGCCCAGTGCATTTTCAGGAGGCCAGGGATTTGAACCCGTGGTCACCACGCAGCTTCCAGCCTTGCAGGACACTGTTACTAGGAAAATGTTGGTATACCATGTGACCTTCAGTCTTTTATGTCAGGCCTGGAGACCCTCTGGGCTATAATCTTCGATACCCTTTTGCAAAGACATGGACTGTGTGTAACACCCAGGAGTCGCACACCTGGCCGCCGCCTCTGTTCTCGGCAATAGCCACCTGCCAAAGTTCTCTGCCAGGTGCCTGGCTTGCCCACAACGTCCTCCCTTCCCACCACTGGGAGTCACTTGAAACATTGTGGAAGTCAACAGGATTTCAGAGTGGAAAGGTGGGGATGGTGTCTGCAGGCAAGTGTGGAGTCCTGCAGACTGTGGAGACGTGTGGAGACTGAGTCACTGGTGGTTGTCAAGTGCATTTTCAGAAAACAAAGAGCAGCCAATTCTCCTGAGATGAGACCTAGTCTGGCAGGTCTATCAGGAGAGAGGCTCTTATCTTTATGAAGTGCTGGCCAGTGGGGTCTGCTCCTTAACGCTTTTGCAACTAGCAGATGGCATAATGGTTACATCTTTGGACTGCCCGTAGTTGACTGAGGTTTGAGTCCCAGACCCGGCAGCTTAAAACGCACTGGGTGCGTGTGCATGTGTGCCCAAAATCCCGAGAGGAGGATGAAGGAAACGGGAGAGCAGTGAGGCCACCTGCCTGGGGGGAAGGGGTGAGTTCTCTCTGTCTGTCTCTCTGTTTCTCCAGGGAGAACACACACCCTTTAACAAAAATCTCTCTTTAAAAAAACAACTTCTCACGCACATCCTAAGCCTGGACCCTCGGCTACGCTTGTGTGACACGACTGCTCACAGCTGCAAAGGGCAATGAGGCCGGTTTTCCCACGCACCTGCTCGCGTGGCCTGGCCCCAGTGCTGTGAGCAACGCCCCCGAGAAGCAGAGACACACCTCCCCCTACTCTCACTCAGCGACGAGGCAGCCGGGACTGTGAGTGCTCCTGGCGAGGTCTGGAGAACCAGGGCTTGGGTATTCCTCACAAACGCACCTTCCCTGTTCAGAGCAGGTTTTAGCTGCTTTCTGTCCACAGACTCACTTAAGACAGGGCATAACCGAAGGGAGCGTGAACGGATAACCGCCCCCTTGGCTCTGCTGCTCCTGGGCGAGCCCACACTCACGGCTGAAGGGGGAGACTGGCCGGCGGGTGGCGAGCAGCGGGGGCTGGGCCGGGTCTAGGTTAGGCCCTGGACGAGGGGCAGGAGCGCTAATCCCGTAAGGTCAGGTCACTCCAAGGCCCCTGCGAGGTGTGCAGCGGCCAAATAAGAAAAGCTGTTCACCCACAGAGAAACCACAGCCTGGTTGGGAAGATGAGCGGGCGTGCGAGCTGAACAGCGGGGGCTGCTGGCAACCCCCAGGGGAAGTCCGGGCTCGCTGCATGGCACCTGGGCCCATCCCAGCTCTGCACAGGGCGCCACGTCTCTGCCGTGTGGAACCGCGCGCTCCACTTCACACCAGCATGGCGGATGACACCTGGTGCTGCCACTCCCCGGCTCTCCTTGCTCGACTCTCCTTGCGCTCCCGCTCCGTCCCTGCCTCAGAGCCTGTGCTCAGTCATTTCAAGGACAGCCACTCCCGGCGCCAGGACCCTCCACCCCACGGAGCCTGCGCTTTTCATTCTACCTTGACCACCTCCAGGAGCTCCCTGGCCGACCGTGAGCCCTTACCATGCTGTGGGGGCCGTCCCCTGAGCAGTCATAGACACCTCGTCATTGTGACCACCTTGACACAGCCAGCCCTGCACCTGTCCTGCAGCAGTGCAGACACAGAACACGCCAGTGTCGCAGGGGAAGTGGCCATGTAGCAGCCCCCACCGGGACAGGATACACACGGCCAAGTGCGGAAGAGAACTCTCACACGGAGCACGGAAGTTTCCCTCGGGAGCAGGTGGCGTAACTTGTGAGCTTTAAAGGGCAAAGGACCCGGGGGCTGAGGCTGGGTGTGAACGGAGTTGTGGAGGCATGAGGAGAGCAGTGCGTGTCCCTGTGAGGTGTGCAGTGCCCGGGCAGTGAGCCGAGAGGACAAAAGAACCGACCTCGAGCTCATTCTGAGCAACAGTGTCTCTCCTCGCTAGGAGACAGCGCCGCGGCCAGCAGGCCCGCCCCCGCCCCTCCTCTACAGCAGTAAGCCCACGTCTGCAAAGGCGTGAGCAGTGACGAGGGGCGGGGCCTCAGCTGTTTCTCAGCCGCCTGCTGCCCGCGGGTTCACACCTGCACACTCGGCCCATGTGGGCTGCAGGTCCGTCCTTGCTGCCGTCACCTGAGCTCGGGCCTCAGCTGCGTCTGTTCCGGACGGGGACAGGCCTTTCCCTGCCGCCGCTCCCTGCATGGTGCAGTGTACCTACCAGCTACTTCCACGGCGCCCACGGTGCCTGGTGTTGGGTGTCACAGTAACCTGGAGGTGATTCAGCGGGTACGGGGAGGTATCTCCCATGTAAAGGGCCTGGCACCTGCAGATCTTGCCATCACAGGGTGTGTGTGTGCGGGGGGGTGTCCTGGGGCCCGTCCCCTGCGGATACCAAGGGACCACGGTAGTCACAAATGAGGCGGTCACTGGGACATGAAATGAGGGAGCGAGGTCACATCGTAAAGTCCTGATGTATCTCAGGGGATACAAAAGGCTTCCCAAGGCCTTTAAGAAACGCTGTCAGACAACAGGAGAGGCCCGGGGGCAGAGCTCCAGGAGGGGACAGACGGGCAGAGGCGCAGAGTCGGGCAGAGGGAGGGCATTCGCGTGAGAGCCCAGGGGAGCTGAGGGCCGCTCTCAGGAGGAGACAGTCCTGAAAAGTGGGCTTGGTGGGAAGAGGAGCCTGGATCTGAGGGACCCTCACAGATTGCAGCTCGGTTCGCCCCGGCTCAGAGCAGGAGGAGCTCTTGCACAGTGGAAGACTAATCAGACCCACCCGGGTAATTTACGGTTGCACTGCAGGAGGCAGCCAGCCAGGGCATGGGGGTGGGGGTGGGGGTGGCTATGAAAGGCTTCTTCTTTCCAAGAGTTGACAAAGGATGACAAAGGAAAGGAAAGAGAAAGGTCAGGAGGTCCAGGGTCCCCTGTCCTGGGAAGGGCCCTCCTTTCCCTCTAACTGCATCCTCTGACCGGTGAGCTGCAGGTGACTCGTCCTGTTCTCTGTGTCACAGTCACTGCAACCACCCAGGCCACCTCACACTTGCTCGATGTGCAAAGGAGTCCCCATGGCCCCGTGACCAGGACAGGCCAGGGGAAGAAGGGAAGAATCAAGGGTGTTCTGAACATAAAAGTGACGGAAAGAGCCAGCCGAGCGAGCAGGACCTCAGCTGTGACCCTCCGTCTACAGAGAGGCCCAGGAGATGTCGGGTGCAACTCCTCGGGAAGCACTTCGGCTCCTGGGCTCTCCTCTGCGGAACCCCAGCTGGAGCCGGCACTGGGGCCCTAGGGCCCTGCACCACAGCGACACCTGGATGTGGGTCAGCGGCTACATTTGACCCCAGAGGGAAGGCTCAGACAGGGGAGGTGGTGAGCAAGCTTCTCGCTCTTAGG